TCCTTGATAGTATATCTTAACTGAAACTCAAAGCATGAGGGAAGGAAGCTTCCCTCAGGCGGTGAGCATGCGGTGCTCAAATAATAAGGGGTTGTCACGTGTGGGTTATGCTTGGCGGTTCGTGACACTATTAGTGCTAGGGAGTCCGTTAGCTAGAACGAGCTTTAGCTGCTGCCCATCTAGTAGTAAGGGTGTGACCCTATAGGGTGTCTATATCGATGTTATCACGGGCCCCACTATCGACAATAACGACGAGATGAGGCCTATATAGGGTGGGGTGGTTAATAGGTACATTAGGTCTTCAGGGTCGATTAGAGCGCTACCGAAAGGTTGCGGCTCGTATGTTAACGATAGATAATGGGGCCATAAGACCAACGATCAGTAAGGAGGGTGCTAAACCCAACCTTCATATTATGGCTGTCCTTAACGGAGAGGTAGCGCTAAAGCCGGACGTCATGCTCGGGGAGGCCGTCCATACCATACTCGTGCGGACCTGAGAGAATCAACAGGGTAGCCATCCGACGCAGTGATGCATCGACTTGATGCTATTTCTGGGGGAGGAAGATGAGCATCCTGAGTGGCCGACAAAGAAGTTCACGCGGCTCAACCCTCTCAGTTGCTGCAGATGGCGGGCGCACCCAGGCCCACGGAGTGCTCCAACAAGGACTGTCGCAGGTGGAACCTCAGACTCTGGTACAGGTACAAGTGTGTAAAGGGGCTGCAGTACACCTCTTACATCTGTGACAACTGCTGGAAGTATACCTACCTTCACGGGAAGGAGAGGCCAAGCTCTCGAGGCCAAACCCACCCGATGGCATCTGCGAGATGCATGACTGTGGGTATCGTCCTGCTAGAGGACGCTTGCAGATCTGGACTTGTAGTGACCCCAAATATCAAGGGGTCAGTCTAGACACTAGATAGGGTCTCTGGAAAGCGCAGAATAGCGAAGACGGAGAACCCGCCGAAGACTGAGGCTGGTATTTGGTGGGGCGCAATGGCCGCAGCAGCCTGGTCAGGAACTTGGGTATCAATTATCCGGGATCGGCAAAGCGTAAGCCATCGCCTACCTAAGACCGTTAGGCAAACACATTGGATGTGAAGGACGACACATGCAATGGCACAAATAATGTTGGCTGATATCCTGGCCCTTATGGAAAACAAAAAGCAAATCCCATTTCGGTTGGTCTGTACGACCTTGATCGCGAGCACTAGGTACGTGCCATACAAGACAAAAAGGTAATGAATGATATGTATGGTACAAGACGTCGGGTGGGTTGCAATCCCGTGCGGCCTCCTTCTGCTTCTTCTTCTTCTTCTTCGCTCTCTTCCTCCTCCTCATTGTCAGGTATGGGCTTATCTGCCTTGGCTTCTTCCTTTGCTTTCCCCTTCCGTTTGCCCTTGCCCTTGGCGTCCTCTGACTCGTCATGTTCTGAGGAGTCCACCAGTCCGCTGCATATCTTGCCCTCTTACGAGGTCTAGTAACGGTGGCCTCCTCGGCAGCAGGTCGCTTCGTGACAGGCAGGCTGGAGGGCGATGGGAGGATGGAGGAAAGGTTGGCGTCCTTCTCACCGAAAAGTTTCTGCCACGAGGATGGGAGAGTCGATCGAGAAGACATGATTAGCAAGGTAGGCCCCGAAAGTTGATTGTTACGAAGAGAGAAGAGAGAGAAGGAGGGTGAGAAAGGGGAGAGAGCAATCAGGAGAGTTTCCACCACAGGTCCCCTCTCCAGCGAGCCAGCGGCTCGTGCATTAGACGTAAAGCAACCCCTTGATTTCTCACGATCTATCTGAAATACGACTCATTACAGGTACACATCTTACCCGGTAGACTTCGGGGAAATCTCAAGTTCTCCCAAGAAGATTCGGCTTTTCAAGAGATTGTAACACTGCCAATAGCACCTACTCCTAGAGTGAGCACCTGATCCATCATGAAGAAGGAAATGAATCGTGTCGAATGGTGAGTTGAAGGTAAACTAAACTAGAGAGTAGGTTCTAGAGTTGTCAGTCATTGGCCACATTCACCCTGACCATTTACGAAGCTAATCCTAAAAGGGACTTGTGGTAAAAATCCTTTGCATCACAACTGCCATGTATCTAGGAAATTAATATGAACCAGTACGCTTTGATGCGCGGATACCCAGATGAGTTCAACCACTACTCTGCGTACACAAGCAACTCATGTAGAGAGTGCAGAGTCTACATCTGGCCGAAGCCTCCTGCAGGAAAATGGATTCGTTGAGCAAGGGACTTCCTCGGACGACGAAGTCGAGCCACACCCTTTGGGAGTGAGACCGTCCGGAAATGCACTCACGTCTGATCAGAATGCTCAGGAGTCGATGGGCGGCTTCAGATTCCTACCAGACGGCCTACTTGTGACGCTGCTCGAGTTTCTTGATGCGGCGGCGCTCCTCAACCTGGGCGCAACGTGTCGCGGGTTCTACGCATACTGCACTTACGACCAGCTGTGGCGAGATGTGGCGGTCAACGACACGAACGAGCGCTTTGAGTGGCGGGGGAGCTGGCGAGCATCTCTCCTGCGGCTGCCACCGACAACACGGCTTGCAAAGGTGGACTGCCGATACGTGTTTTCCGACGCACTCTATCGGCCGTTCCAATGCTCCCGCACACCGTTGGGCCCCTACGTCTCCAACATTCCGCTCCAAAACGAGATTCCACGACTGAAGGACGTGTCGCCCGAAGAGTTCAACGATTCATGGGTCGGCAGACCTTTCATCCTAACGGCACCGGTAAAGAAATGGAGGGTCTTTGAGACGTGGGACCTGCAGCATCTACTCGCAAAGTATGGGCATGTGTCATTTCGTTGCGAGGCAGTGGATTGGCCGCTGACGACCTACGTCGGATACATGGAGAGTTCCCAAGATGAATCGCCATTGTACCTTTTTGATCGGGCATTTGTGGAAAAGATGGGTTTGCAGGATGCGTACGAACCCCCCGAGGCGTTCCAAGAAGACTTTTTCACCCTCCTCAAGGACCAGAGACCTGATCGACGCTGGTTGATTATTGGACCTGAACGAAGTGGAAGCACGTTTCACAAAGACCCGAACGCCACGAGCGCCTGGAACGCCATCATTCGAGGCTCGAAATACTGGATTATGTTTCCTAGCTCTATCCTTCCTCCAGGCGTCTATATGTCCCAAGATCAAAGCGAGGTGACTTCGCCGCTGAGCATAGCCGAGTGGCTTCTATCATACCACGCCGAAGCTCGGGCGATGAGTGGCTGTTTGGAGGGTATCTGTCGGGAAGGCGAGGTCCTACATGTACCCTCGGGTTGGTGGCATTTGGTAGTCAACCTTGAGCCAGCCATTGCCATCACTCAGAACTTCGTCCCCAGAGCTCACGTCCCATCAACGATTCGCTTCCTCAGAGACAGGGCAGATCAAGTTTCTGGATTTAGTGACAAAGTCGCAGACCCTTATGCCCTCTTTATGGAACGTTTAAAGGAAACAGACCCTGATCTGGTGGTTTCTCTCGACGACTCCCGTAAGCGCAAATGGGAGGAGGTCGTCGCCGGTAATGAGGAGGCCAATGGAGAGCAGCATGGGTTCAGCTTTGGATTTAGCGATGACCTAGATGAAGCTGAAGAACCTTCTGATTCTTCCGGCCTGTGACCTCAATGACATGCTGCCGATCTGGTGGGCGAGGTCCGGTAACTGAAAGCCAAGAATCCAATAAATGCGCCCACTGCTACCGCTAGCATCACGAATCCGTTGTAGGTCATGAACAGAAGCCTCGAGTCAATTAGTGGGAGTCGACATGCATGGAGTGGGGTCAGTCATACATGATAAAGAAGCTGTAGAACACCTGCAAGGCATACAGACCAGCTCTGGTTATCGTTCCCTGCCTCTTTGTCGCCTCGTGCGATCCCGACCCTGCAAGCAGTGAGCTTGATTCCGCAGGTGTACCTTGGATATCTCAGTGACGGCGTAGGATAATGTCCAGAAGGGCCACGTACTCGTGTTAAAAGTATTCATTCTGGCATTGAAGCTCTCGTCATATCTCCTGCTTATTTCCCGGACACACTCGTAGCCAGCTGTAAGAAGGGCGATGGTCACCAGGGAGAGGAAGAGCGACATGGGCCCTGTGACTCTCCACGACTCGAAGACGATACAAAGGCCTTTGACCTGCCAATTGAAGAGCATCTGACTTGTCAGAGCGATGCTCCTAGCATACTCATTTGGTGACTCACATTCATGGAGCATTGCCCGTCGTGCATACCGCCATGGTCCATACCGCCGTGATCCATCCCGCTATGGTCCATTTCGCTGATTTACTTGTTCAAACGTGACGAGAAAAGTGCAGGAATTGGGAGATGTTGAGGGTGATGTTCGGTGTGATGCTCAGAGTGATGCAAGGTGTGCAAGTTCCTCTGCGGAAAGACGCGGTACTTCCCCAGCGTGCCCAGTTAATAGCGCGTTAGCCACTCTGGAATTTCCTGCGCCCCTCTCACCACTTTCGAGCAACTCACAACACCACTAACAAAAACCTGGCTCACAATGGCCGAGAATATCCCTCCTGGATCAGGCTCTGCGCCAAAGCCTACAGCAGGCAACGACCGGCCAGGATTACCTTGTAAGTGTCAAAGAACGAAGCAGATCCCCGTCCTGCTTCCCTGTGCCGCCCTGATTCTGACAGGACAGACTACGAGAAATTGAGGCGCGATCTACGGGACACCCTACAGAAGAAGCGACTCCTGGATCGGAACCTGGTGGGTTTTGAATTCGCGCACAGAGGTTTGGAGCCATGCTAACAGCTCAGGCTGCTATAGAGGACCAGATCTACCGGCAAGAGACGGCATATCTCGAAGAAACCGCAATCGCAGGGAACATTGTCAAAGGTTTCGACAACTACATCAAGGCTTCTGCAGTGTCGGCAGCAGCCAGTTCAGCGGGCGGGACAGTCTCAGGCAGCGCAGTTGGCGGCGGTTTAGGGGCAGGGCGCCGAAAAGCGGTTGTGAACGACACAGACCGGATATTTTCCAAGAGCTCAGTATCCTACATGAGAGATTCGGATTCCCCGAGTAGCGCTACGAGTACTCCCAACCATGCAGCCACTCCGACCGGTAGCTTTACCGCAGAAAAGACAGGGGACAAGAAGAAGAAAAAGAGCGCAGGCGCCAACGAAGAAGACACCGATGGACGAACCACCAAACGTCAGAAGATCTCCTTTGGAGGTGGACGCAAGAACCATGATGATTGAGAGGGCGTGGATGGTGCCCTCGCTGTCAACCAGACTCCAGACACTTCGAAGCACACCCACGGGCCTTGTTGGAGACTCGTTATTGGGGATGACACAGGCCGGGAAAGTTCCAATTGCGGGTGCCTCGGCTATCCGTCTCGGACTCTTGCAACCTTGGAACTTTTCATCGTCTTCCTGACCGCATATCAGCATCATCTTTGGAATTGTTCAATGCTTCCTCGACGAGTATTCGGCATCAGCAGGCCTTCGTATCTTGTACTGTGCAACCGGGCTCTCTCGCAAAATCATTCGGTCAACATGCCACGTCTTTCGCCCGCCTCAGCGGTATGTTCTAGGCACTGGGCAATTTTCTCAGACTGATTGTCGATCTAGAAAGCCATTGATCGCTTGAGATCCTACAAATCTCCAGATACAGTATGGCCCGTAATGCCGCTCTCGCGCAAGGCAGCCGTCCTGCTCCTGCTCTTTGCGGATCCCAATGGGGAGCTGAGAGTAGTCATCACCATGCGTGCAAGTACCCTGAGCTCATATTCCGGTCAGGCCGCTTTACCTGGCGGTAAAGCTGAAGAGGGCGAGACTGCCTTTGAATGTGCAAGGCGTGAGGCTTCGGAAGAGATAGGTCTTCCTAGGCGTGCGTCCGCTCTGCCACGCCCCTTCAGAGTCGAGCATTTGTGTGAAATGGCAACAAATTTGAGCAAGAACGCCCTTGTGGTTCGCCCATGCATCGCATTTCTCCATTCTTATGACCCTGAGACGGGAGAAGATGCCAACGTGGCAGAGAAGCTACTACCAAGATTGGACGCGAGAGAGGTGGCGGCGGTATTTTCGGCGCCTTTCAGAAACTTCTTGTATATGGAAGATCTGCCCAACCAACCCAACCTTCCCGGCAAACCTAGCGATTGGTACAAGGGAAGCTGGACAGACTGGCACGAGAGTCGATGGCGCATGCACAATTTCTTCGTTCCCATCACCAACCAGATCGTCTCCAAGCCAAAAAGAAACGAAGACCAAAAGGCCGTGGCAAGCCACCTGGACAAGTATTCCAGGTACCGGGTGTTTGGCATGACCGCCAGGATTCTTGTCGACGCTGCGCGTAATGCATATGACCAAGAGCCTACCTTTGAGCACAACTCTCACTTTGGAGACGAGGAAATGATTGTTCGACTAAAGGCAGCCGGCTTCTTGGGTGAGATTAGAAAGCCGGGTGCTGAGTTGACAAAGCAGGACTTGATCAAAGCTGCAAATCTCTGAGTGCGCAGCGCTCCAGATTCCAGTGAAATTTCACCCTCACGGTGGTGCTGATCTCCAAAGAATGTGGGCACCAACTCAAAACTTTCGTGACGGCTGCATGTGTATATGCCAGCGTTGGCGGGAGCATGGCGCAAAATGGACTCTATTGAGCACGGACCAATTTATTCGACGCTGCTGAAAACGGATCTTCTTTGTTCGGCGTTGTGGGGTATCGATTGCGTCGCCGCTCGTGAATCTTCAGTCATGGTGTCGAACGAAAGTCGATGGTTCTGCTACAGATTCCTCGCTTGCACTAGAACGAGGGTCTCACAAGCATTCTGATATCTGGTCATAATGAACCCGCCCCCCAGATCATCCCATCCATCGCGGCTGACCTCTCCACCTCCATCGAAGGCTCTTCTAGGACTACAAAAGCAGGGCTTAGAGTTGTCGGTCTCTCCTCCACCCAACAGTCTCATACCAACCTCGATTCATGCATCTGGGAGATCGACACCCTCGGATCGGGACAAACCATTGCCACTTGAGCCGTTTGAGGGGAGGAGAAGGTCATCCAGTGTGTATAGCACTGATACTACAATCACCAACATCATTCACATGTACGGCGGAGGGTATCGTGAGTTGGACGACCTTCCACCTTTGCCAATACTTCATCACCCGCAAGCCTACCGAGACACCGTTGCGCCTCTTCTGATCAGGCGGCTGAGCTTGGGCCACAGCCCCTCACCACCGGTTAAAGATGCGCCACGGGAGGCAGTCTCGATCTCGTCACTTAGATCTGCTGCTAGCCATACCCACGTTGTCTCAAGCAACAAGGCAGCCCCCTCCTTTACTGAGTTTTCCCGTCAGCTCCAACAACGCAGGAACGAATTGGTTTCACCGCTTTCGGTCTCTTCGGCTGAGATACATCGCCAAGCGGCGTACGATCAATTGGCTCCACCCTCTCCACACGTCTCGCTGGTTGAACAATCCGTATCCCTCTCCCAAACCCCGCCCTTACCCGATGCGATGTCTGGGATGATATCTGATACCGACGGCTCTGACCTCCTCCCACCTCCCTTGGGCCTGAGTAGCTCGAGCCTTCCAAGCCCACCATACGATGATTGGGAAAAGCCCGCCGAATTTGACCCTGCTCGGCACCATGATCCTTTTGAAGACCAGTCTCAGCTGCACTCTGGAAAGAGCTGGTCACAAAACTGGTTAGATCATGGCTTCGTCGACCAGAGTCCCGAAGCATCGCCACTTGAACTACAGCCCAGGAAGAGCTTCCGACTCAGAAAGAGCTCGAGTGAGAAGGAACGTGAGAGAGTGATGTCGTACGCCGAAACCAAGTACCCGGCGATGAAAAGAGATGGTGCTGAGCGGAAGACGCCACGTACCAGCAGTGCGAGATCCAGCCTTCAACATAACGTGGCTCATTTACTCAGGTCTCTGTCGCGGAAGGGGCCTCTGGAAGGCAAAGAGAGCCATGGGCGGGAGAGTCCACCACGAGAAAGGCAGTTGGCTATTCCTGCAACCCCATACCAAGTATACGGTGCAGAGGTCTTCTCGAACAAACTGCAGAAGAGGCAACAAAAAGAAGCGCGAGAAGCTCAGCGGACGCGCCAAAGGGGGAAATCCATCAGCCTCGTTACAGCGTACCAGAACAGTCAAAGTCAGATTGTCGGAGTCCTTGAAGGGGCAAAACGCAAACTGAGGCGGAAGTCGTCGCAGAAGAGACAGCGCAAGTTGAAGGACAGTATCATCATCGTTGGGCCAAGTGCAGTCATTGGAGCTGTCACTTCCACGGAACAACCTGCAGTGGACAGCGAAGAGTCGTGGATTTGAAGGTGACAATGTCCTCTGCCGCAGAGATGAAACCTAATTGCCAGATACAATGCCAGAAGCGTGGTCCAATAGAGGTATATAGAAAGACGATAGAAGGTGGAAAGGCCAGACTCAGCCTCGTCATTGTCTACATGGTGACATAGTGATACAATTCTCCAATTCTGCAGTCAGCAATTGACCAGAGCCGCAGCTACCCCGCACAGTGGTTGCATACACGCAGGGTCACAGTAGTGCGCAGTCTACGAGGTACTGCATCGAAGCTTGTCACCAACCTCCCTGCTGCTCAATCCCTTGTGTCATAAGCCGTCGTCTCTCGTTTGACCTGTTTACCAAATTCCTATGATAGCTACACCTCCTTGATATCCTACTCTCCGCTCCGGTTACATTTCTTGCCCCAACCTACAACAATGGGGGGCGAGACATCTACTCGCGCTACCTCGTCGTACCCAAGACTCAGCGCTCATCCTGTTGGACAAAAGATCCAGAGCATCTATACTGACCGCCTACGACAATTCACATCCGGTGGCCAATACGAAAAGGAGAATCTTCTCTCCAAGCTCTATCACAATGCCTGCGATGACGAAGACCATGTCAAGCTCTCGGTCTACTCTCCACCCAATCTCACCAGACCGACTTTTCACGATGCCACTTCTCACACCTTTCGCCCAACACATCGCGGCGAATCCTTCGGACCAGCTTGGTCTACCCATTGGTTCAAGATTCAACTCACCGTGCCTAAACACATGCGAGATGGAGAACATCTAGAGTTCCATTGGGACGCAGGCAATGAAGGCATGGTGTGGACAGAGGATGGGAATCCTCTACAAGGCCTTACTGGTGGAGACCGGGTTGAATGGATTCTGCCCACGGGCTGGCGGGATGGCAAAGAGCACATCTTCTACATAGAGATGGCGTGCAACGGAATGTTTGGCAACGCTCCAGGGGGTGACAGTATCCAACCCCCAGATCCAAACAAACACTACACACTTTGGAAGGCGCAGATTGTGGACGTCAACCTTGCCGCTCGTCAGCTGTACATCGACTTTTGGATCATCGGCGACGCTGCTCGGGAATTTCCTGGCGACAGCTGGGAAAAGCATGAAGCCCTGCAGATCTGCAATCAGATCATGGATACCTTCATAGCCGGTAATGGATCGGCTGCCTCGATTAAAGAGGCTCGCAAAATCGCCCAAAACTATATCGGCAAGAATGTCGATTCAGCCAAGGTCTATGATTCGGACGAGAGGAGCATCGTGTACGGAATTGGACACTGTCACATTGATACGTGTTGGCTATGGCCCTGGGCCGAGACAAAGCGCAAAGTTGCCCGAAGCTGGTCCAACCAGTGTGACTTGATGGACCGATATCCGGAACACCGGTTTGCCTGCAGTCAAGCACAGCAGTACAAGTGGCTGAAGATGTATTACCCATACGTCTTCGACAGAGTCAAAGCCAAAGTCAAGGAAGGGAGATTTCATCCAATAGGTGGGAGCTGGGTCGAGCATGACACCAACATGCCCAGCGGTGAGTCCTTGGTCAGGCAATTCCTGTATGGTCAACGGTTCTTCGAGAGCAACTTTGGCGAAAGATGTCAAACCTTTTGGCTTCCCGACACTTTCGGCTATTCTGGCCAGCTGCCACAGATATGCCGCCTCGCTGGAATGACGCGGTTCTTCACCCAGAAACTCAGTTGGAACAATATCAACAACTTCCCGCACACCACATTCAATTGGGTGAGTTTAGACGGTAGTCAAGTCATCTGCCACATGGCTCCCAGTGAGACGTACACGGCAGATGCTCACTTTGGAGACGTCAGACGGAGCGTCACTCAACACAAAAGCATGGACCAGGACAACACATCCTTGCTCGTCTTTGGCAAGGGGGATGGAGGAGGTGGACCCACCTGGTCAATGCTGGAGAAGCTGAGGAGATGCCGTGGTCTGAGCGACACGGTCGGACTACTGCCCCGAGTACACATGGGAAACACCGTGGACGATTTTTATGCAAACATAGAGAAGAAAGTGGCAGAAGGTACCGAGCTCGTTACATGGTACGGCGAGCTTTACTTTGAACTGCACCGAGGCACGTACACGACACAAGCCAACAACAAGCTCAATAACCGGAAGCAGGAAATTATGTTGCACGACGTCGAATATCTGGCAACTTTGGCGAGTCTGAAGAGCAAGAGCTACAAATACCCCAAGAAGGAGATCGATGAGATGTGGGAGAATGTGCTCCTTTGCCAGTTCCACGACTGCTTGCCTGGCAGCTCCATTGAGATGTGCTATGATGACTCGGACAAACTTTACGCCCACAATGCGAAAGTGGGAGAAAAGGTAAAGGAAGAGGCACTCACGGTCCTGGGCTTGTCTCAGCACCTTAAAGCTAATGCCGAGCTTGCGGCCTTCAACACTACCCCCTGGAAACGATCGGAGCTAGTCAGGATCCCACATGCCAATGCAAAGTCGCAAGAGCAGATGTATACCTATGTATCTGGCGGGCCGGGTGTCTGTAAGACGCATGCTGCTTCGGCGATCCAATCGACAGCGTCCGTTGAAGAAGTGCGGAAGGGTGTCTTTGTCTTGAAGAACAGCATATTCCAGGCAGAGGTGGAGGCAGGCTGCATCACGTCATTGATTGACCTGAGAGCAAACAGAGAGGTGATTGCTAAGGGAGGCAAGGGGAATCAGCTGGTGATATTCGACGACAAGCCTTTGTACTGGCAAGCCTGGGATGTGGAGGTTTTCCATCTCGACTCCAGAAAAGAGCTCCACTCGGACGCATCAGAGATTGTCGAACGTGGCCCGTACAGGGTGAGTGTGGCCACCAAGACACAGGTCAGTAAAGACAGCTGGGTCAAGACCACCATCAGCCTCGACGCATGCGACAGCCAAACCCAGGCCGGGTACCTGTTGGTTGAAGCCGAAGTGGAATGGCATGAGAACATGAAATTCTTAAAGGTAGAATTTCCCGTGGATGTGGTCAACACGGAAGCAAACTACGAGACGCAATACGGAATCATTCGCCGCCCGACACACTACAACACAAGGTAAGGATCACTATTGCTCCATGGACCATCCGAATGCTGACGATGCTAGTTGGGATATGGCCAAGTTCGAGGTGTGCTGCCATAAATTTGCTGATCTTTCAGAGGCCAATTATGGTGTGTCGATCCTGAACGACTCCAAATACGGCTTTGCGACCTGCGGCAACCTTATGCGTCTATCACTGTTGCGGGCCCCCAAAGCACCTGATGCACACGCCGATATGGGCCGTCACCACATCAAGTGGGCAATCATGCCTCACCAAGGCGCGCTGAGCAGCGACACTGTCCGAGCGGCCTACAACTTCAACCATCCAATGACGTTGGTGTCGGTCGTGGACGACAGGCCTCCTAAGGAGTTGTTCAACGCCGTGGGCCTCACCGGCGCGCCATCACTGATCCTGGACTGCGTCAAGCGTGGAGAAGACGACGAAGACGTCTCCCGAGGCGAGCTCACCCAGCGAAAGGGACAGAGCGTGATACTGAGGATTTACGAGAGCATGGGCGGAAAGAGTCGCGGAGTGATTGAAACGACCCTGCCAGTGAAGAAGGTGTTCGAAACCAACGTGTTGGAGGACGACGGCAAGCAGCTGGACATGTCCGGGAAGAACAAGATCAGTATCCCGATTGAACTGCGCGCGTTCGAGGTCAAGACATTCAGGTTGCAGCTGTAGTTGTTTTCGACCAGACATGTTAACGGGATGGAGCAGGCGTCTGTGGGACTTGCCAAAAGTATCAATATATCGCTCTCGTTTTCCGCGTCTTTCGGAGTACCATGCATTGTAATAGTAAAGGGGCCACCATCTACCATTCCCCACAGTGTAGACAATCGGGATGGAGGGAGGTGTGGAAGGTGGAAATTGGCTTTCCGTGGCGCTAGATCGGCTGTGTCGAGCGTGGCAAGGCTGAAGCAGTGCTTTATGTTTAGCGAACGTGAGTTTCCTTGACGTTCTTCCTGCAATTTCGGTGCCGGCAGATATGGGGACGGACGGAAGCCGGGGGAGAAGATGGTGGTCGAAGTGTGATGATGGTGATGGTTGCGAGAGGTCGGAGGTGGGAATAGGCGAGCGAGGATGTTGGGCCATCTGCCACCTGCCATTTGCCATTTGCCATCTGGCTCTCAGAAGCCCGGATGGACCAGTCCAGCGGGATCGTGTTGGCCTGGAGCCCCGGCACTCTGTATCCCTGTCGCCAAAGCGGCCGTCAGCGGCCCAGCAGCGCAGTCACTGGAGGGTTGAATTTAGCTCCAGATTCGCTAAGCAAATCAGACAAATTTCCTCGCCAGTTGCTCCCCTTTGGCGCCTTTGTTTCCTCGCCTGCGGTGCCTGCGCGCCCCGTGGCACCAACCTGCGACCCTGTCAAGAAAAAAAAGGACCCCCATGTTGGTCGGGTTTCCATGACCATTCACCATTCACCATTCACCAATGCGTACATAACAACAATGCTTCAGCTTACTCGTATTCCTAACCTGCGATTCGGCGCGACCCAAAACTATGCTTAGTCCTTGCTTCTACGTCTTTTGTTTATCCCTCTGCTCCGACCCGTACAACCAACCGCCGCCTACTACCACTGCGACACCAACACCACACATACTCGTCCTGCCTCCCCTTTCCCTATCCTTGTCCCTATCAGCAGCCACCATATCTTGACACCTATGGTCGATGGTTTTAATCAGCGCAGCCTTCATCTAATAAGATTGGATTTCCTGGCTTTTCGCTGAATTGCCTCAGTCTGCTCAACCCGAGGTGCTTGTCCTCCACAAGTTCCGGCGAGTTGCAGATCTCGCCGAGCCCGCACCCGCTACTTCTTCGATGGACACTGAAACGTCCAACGTGGCTTGAATCGCCGCTCGACCCCGCGATACTTCGAGACAACAAGCAATCATCGGCCTGATCGTTCCGTCCGTCCTGGCATTTGCTTCGAGCCCGATTCCCCTGGGTTCTGAATAGCCTCCTTA